CTAGAGCGATAATGTATGATTCTACCGAACTGCGGAGTGCAAGCACTATTCGCCAGCAGGGCACCCGCTGCCTCAAGAGCGACCGAAGCTTCTCGTTGAAGAACCCACATCATAGGAATACCTCGCCCGGAGGCCTCCAGCACGACATGCGAAGCTACACGCTCGAAGAGAGAGGAAATAATAAGGACACACAGCCATGACGATGCGCGCTCTCTTTCTATATGAGAGGCCCTCTCTCGCATCCGTCATGTTGGAAGCAGGCCACTGCAATGTGAGCCGCGAAGTCCACGTCCTTTGAGACGCCGAAGGATACAAAACGTTCCGGAGGCCCCAGTCTCAGCTCCAGAATCTCGCTCGTATGCTTCGTTCAACTGGGTGTTTGTCAGCTTTGTTTGTCATGCGTGTTCCAAGAGGATGTTATCTCTCCACCAATGGAAAAGCATTGACTTCTTCCAAGTCGATGTGGACTGGGCTTACTTGTTGCGCCTCCATTTTGCAGGCGGTTTGCCCCAGCCTCCCAAGAGGTTGCTGTAACGACGTGGATCCATGTTCGGATCCCACAGCGACTCTCCAGGACGGAGCGGCATGTACTGATCGTCGCCCCTGGGGCCGTCGGGAACCGGCTTCTTCCTCTCCACTTCTGCAAGACGAAACGGCGGATATCGCTCGTTGACCTTGGGGACGATAGGGAACGCCTTGTTCACCACCCCCTTCTCCGCCTCTTTCGCCGCTGCCTTCTTTCGCTCCACCTTCTCTTGTTCCGCCTTTTGTCGTTCCTCCCTCTTTGCGAGGGTGACCTTGGTAGGCTCGAAGCCGCCCAGATCGAAGCGCTTGGTCTTGCCGTCGACGAGGTGGTTACCACCGAGAAACATAGCGCCGTGGTGCGCGGAAGATCTCGAGTTGTCCATCTGATGTTACGTTAGCGTTAGTTAACAGTCGCGGGGGCTGAAGCTTACCGCGGCGGAGAGGTGCGATGCAGATGTATCTGTTATAATAAGTTAGTATGCTATTAGGTCTTTGTTGAGCTTCTCCCTAAAGTAGGTAGCATTGTAGTCATAGGCGGTGGGTGGTGCATCTGGCCTCAAGGTAGGCGCCCCGTCGCATACGGTCGTGGTGCATGCGGTGGATCGAGCCAGGTATGCTCGCGACGGCGCGACCACAGTCTGATCGAATACCTCGAGGCGACTGCGAGACAGTCGAAGAGCATTGAGAAACTTACGGGTACTTGTGTGTCGGCAGCTGGGGTCCTTATTATAAAGGTGGCGTTGAGAGTGGTGCGGTGATTGTGTTAGGAGCACGAAGCAACAGGCAGATCTGCCTGGAAATGCTCGGACGATCTGTTTGCACCTCCGCACTCACCCCCATCACCTTGTACTTTGCCACCTCTTGGGAGCAGTGCATGCGACGCCGCTAGCCGCTGGCGCCTCCGAGATCCCTCTTGCTCATTGAGCCAGTTCGCCTCTCCGAAGGCAGTCCTCGGATACCGATCGATGTCCCCAGCTTGCGACACGCCTCAGACGCAACCGCTTTTCAACGAGGTCGCGTGGAAGATAGCAGCAGGCCGAGTCATGCTCACCTGTTGTCTCTCGAGACAGTCGATCATCCAACGAGCGTGGACTTGAACAAACAATTGAGATGTCAAGGCGGAGATACAGCAAACAGCCAGCCCGCTTATTAGCTGTCCGAGTCATAGTATGGCAATTGGAGAAGGTAATGTCCTCGAGCTCGACAGACTGTCCTTAGTGAAGCCCGTAAGAAGTATCGCTGTAAAGCACGCCCCTCGATCTTCTGATATGCTAGGCCAAGTCACAGTGCCCGCATGTATATATAGGCATATAGTCCCCTGTGTTGTCACTTGCTCAAGTCTACATCCACTGTGCCTTCGATATATTCTTCCAACATTCCTAGGGGCTATGCCTTCTGCTTCTCCTTCTGACATGTATCCCGTCGACACAGTAAGCTTCTACTTGTGTAGCGTGCAATGGGCTGGCGAGAATGTCAAGCTCGAAGACGGGCTCATTATCTAACGCTTGTGGATTGCTGCATAAGATCTGCAGCATAGTCCCACAAAAGGACGTTAGGCATCACACACATACGAATGCCTGGAGAGCTAAACAGGTAGCCGAGTCAGCCGCTAAACGCGAGGCTGTCACGCATGTAGTTTAGGCGAGCTTCTACAAAGTCGTTACCCTATGAATTTCGGGCCGATATGGTATTCTAACAGTACATCATACCAATGCATTCCACCGTCCATCGTAACAATTCTACGTTTAATTTTCTCTGATGTTGTGCTGGAAGCCACCCGAAATTGGTGGCTTGTCAAAGTTAGCGAGACATACGTCATCACTCCCTGACTTCCCTGGCGTTGTCCACGCGACAACCCGCGCATCTTGGTTATCTCACATGCACGCCCCTCGTGCACATACCTGCAGGTAGATCTCCAGATCTCCAGATTTGATTTTCTTCTCTTTACACAACATGCACCCGGACTCGTTGTTGTCTACTGCAGTCTTCACCACACTACCAATTGACTGACAATGAACGACCCCGGCCTCGACGAGCCAGCAGGCGCAGCAGCGCAGGATGTTAATGACACAGTCCACGACGAAGATGAACAAGCCGAGCAGGAAGAGCGGGAGTATCTCGATCCAAGTTATGTCGCTCAGTACCTCGACATCGCTTTACGTACGCTGACAAACTCAGTCAATGGTGGTTTGCCTCCACAGCGAGTCCCCTCATAGCAGGAACATTCGGCCCCATCGCCAACGGCTTCTCCATCTGCGCTCTCGTAGAGAAATGGAGAGTTTACATCCCGCCTGGAAGTGACGAGGGGCACGGCTCAAAGATTACCGATCCGAAATGGCTTATCGCGGTCAACTCGGTCTCGCTCGTCTTTGCGCTAAGTGCAAACATCAGTTTGCTACTCAACATGTCTAGGAGACTGACGTTTGAGATTGCGCAACCTATCACTATCATCGGCTTCTATCTGGCTGGTTTCCTTTTGATGGCGCTCGTGGGGGTCGCTTCGTCATCTGTGTTCCGGATTCAGCCTATGGAAGAACATGCTCTCAGCCAAGCGTATTACTACGCTATCATCGCTGCGGGTATCTACTTCATTATCGCCTCTCTTATGGCTTTTACTGCTTTCGGGGCGTGGAAAGGGCATTACGCTAGAGACTTCCGACTGACGGCCAGTCAGAGGACGCTGATGCTGCAGACAATCGCCTTCATGGTCTACCTGCTTATCGGCGCTCTGATATTCTCATACGTCGAAGGCTGGATGTTTCTGGATGCAGTGTTCTGGGCCAACTTTACCCTTCTCACGATAGGTTTCGGTGGAGAGTTTGTGCCTAAAACGCATACTGGTCGCTCACTCCTCATTCCTTACGCAATTGGGGGTCTAGTGACGGTTGGTTTGGTCATTGGTTCTATTCGATCCCTCATTCTAGAGCATGGAAAGCAAAAGATGGCTGCTCGCTTCATGGAAGTCAAGAGACAAAAGGTCCTCAAGTCTATTGATGGCGACACACAAACAATCCGCATCTCACTATGGGAGAAGGTCGAGTTCTCCTCGAAAGGCTTGACGGAAGCACAGAGACGAGAGCAGGAATTCCACATCATGCGGCGCGTGCAAACACTATCCGAGCGAAAGAGGCGATACACCGCATTAGCCCTATCAACCACAGCAGCAATGCTATTGTGGTTCCTAGGAGCTCTAGTATTCATGTACTCCGAAAAGCCGCAAGGATTCAGCTACTTCGTCGCCCTCTACTATGCCTACGTCTCGCTCCTAACGATCGGTTACGGAGACTACGTCGTCGAAAGCAATGCCGGAAAAGCCTTCATGGTCTTCTGGAGCCTCCTCGCCGTCCCCACACTAACCATCCTCATCTCCAACATGGGCGACACAGTCATCAAAGCCTTCAAAGACTTCACCATCTGGCTCGGCTCCCTCACCGTCCTCCCAGACGAAGAAGGCCTCAGCGCCGCGCTCAAAGTCGGATGGACGCGCATCAAATCCGGCAAGGTTGGCGAAGAAGAAAAGGCAGGCTACCGCAACGACTCTGCCGGTTCGACCGAACAGCGCACAGAAGACAGACTAGCAGCCTACATCGAAGAAGAAGAACTAGGCAAAGCGACAGAAGCCAGCGAGCACGGCGACTACCTCGAACGCGACATCCGCTTCTACCACTTCGTCCTCGCAAAAGAAGTCCGCAAGCTGATGAAAGACGTCGAAAGCTCGTCGTCAAAACAATACGAGTACCACGAGTGGCAGTACTACCTGCGTCTAATCGGCCAAGACGAAAACGATCCTTCGCATCACCGTCAACCCAAAGCGAATACTACGCATAAACACGACGATGGTGAAGCTCCTGATATCGGCTCTGCAGATGACGGCAAGAAGCATGCTTGGAGTTGGCTGGGTATAAGGAGTCCGCTCATGGGCAATCAGTCTGAGCCGCAGTGGTTGCTGCAAAGGTTGGCGATGAAGTTGGAGTCAGAGATGCGCAAGATGAGTTCGTCTGACGAGAAGGTGAGGAAGGCGAAACCACCCATCTCCATGGCTGAGTTGAGGAAGCGCAAGGGTAGTGGGAAGGTGTCGGAGGAGACGCAGACGAGGACGTTGCAGGAAGATGTTGAGGCTACGGCGGTTAGTCAACGGGCTGTCAAGAGCGGTTGATGGTGTGAAGGGACATGGCAAGGTCAGAATTGGTGTGTATTCTCATGGTTAGAGCTTTGAAGATAGATTCGATGATGAAGCACGGGAATGAAGTACGAGAATAATGTATCTTAAGTAATGGTCCACTAGAAACACTAGACCTTTAATCAAACACAAAGCAGTATGGACACACCATACGAGAAGATAAAATGACCAACTTGGTGGCCTTGGGCCCAACAATCATACTTCAACTAACGAAACAACACTAAACAATACAAACAGAATCATGCTTCATCGTCATCTCCAGCCCCGCGCAGTCGTCCTCCTTTCCTCTGATAACTCAGAGATCGCGCAGCTGCTGGCGCTTTGAGTAGAAGGTGGTGTAGGGCGTGGGCGCAGATCTTCCGACGACAGTGACCGTGTCGCAGGGTGGCTCGGGGGCGACGGTGACCGTATCGCAAGGTGGCTCGGGGTCAACGAAGACGGTTGTGGTTGTGATGGAAACAGGTACGGGGGTGGTGGTGCAGGGTGGCTCAGGGTCGACGTAGACGGTTTTTATGGAGTAGGGTTCGGTGGTGCAAGGTGGCTCGGGGGCGGCGATTATGGTTGTGGTGACGGCTGCAGGAGGGAACTTATGAGTGACTGTGACCATGGCAGGAGCCGAGATGGTGGTGATAGTAACCACGGGTTGAGAGCCAATGACCGTGACGACGGACGGAGGAGCGACGGTGACGATAGACGGAGGAGCTACGGTGACGATAGCGGGAGGATAAACCGTGGAGGTGCTGAAGATCACAGAGACAGTAGAGTAAGGGAGTACGACAGTCTTCGTCTCTGGAGTGGCGTCGATGTACTGCACTTGCTGCTTCGGAGTGCGCTTCTTCATGTCTTCCTTGGGTTTTTGGATTCGGACTTCTGACCCCTTCGATCCACGCTCCTCCCATTCAGCATCTGCGCACATCTCTGTGCCAGGATACCACGGGTGGGTGAATCTGACGGCCCTGTGGAATGAGCGGCGTTCTAGATCGGCTTCCTTCTGGCCGAGCGTAATGGTCTGCATTGGCTGAATTGGGTTGCCGCCGATGACCGTTGTAATCGCATGCCCAGCGGTTACTGTAACGACTGACACGCTGGTGATCGCTGCACCCTGGGTTACCGTGACATCTGGAGTATGTGTGACGGTGACGGTTTCGTTGGGATCAGGTACCGGGCCCTCGCATGAGACGGGGTTGTTCGGTCCAGAGCGGCACTCGAACTTCCACAGATTGTCATGAGCCTTGGCGTAGCATTCGTAGCAAATGACCGCCTGAGACCAAGGGTGCTTCATCCATACACCAATCCGAGGGCCCTTCCACTTGCTCCTGCGGCGTGGCTCCAGAGCATGGGCTTCGGGCTGAGGGTCGGAGCGACGCTCGCGCGGGTAGTGGCTGTCTTCGACATAGGCGGTGACGGTATGAGTCGGAGTCGGAGTGCTAAGAAGCACGGTGGAGGTCTCTAGCGGGGTGATAGTCACCCAAGGCGTCACGATATGCGGCAGGTATGTGGTGATGGTGCTCGCCTTAGGGTACAGAGTCTGCATGGAAGTCTTGGTAGAAGTTGTGAAGATAGTCGAGACGTAGTTGGTAAAAGAGCTGCCAGCGTGCATCCATGTCGTGAGATAGCCAGCAATTCCAACCTCGGTGATCACGGTGGAAGTTGTGATCGGTTGTGGAAGTACGGTGACGGTGATCGTTTCTGGATATACAGTGGTGGTGCTGATCAGTTGCGGAGTTCCGATAACGGCGGTTGGTACCACCACGACGGTAGTCGTAACGTTCTCTGACTTCACGTCTCGACATCTAAACATCATGGAGAGAAACTGTTCGTCTGGTGACAAGCACTGATCGATGGCCCCGGGAAGTTCTTCGGCAATTGATGGGTAGCCTGAGCAGCCGTGATGCTTGTATGTGGCGACCCAGCACTCTTGCTGTCCGAGGTTGATCTGGTTGAGCCAGTCCTGGTGCTTGTTCGTGGAAGGCCTCATGCTGTTGGCGCCGCTGACAATGTCGTGACACTTGTTGGGCTTGAGGTCCTCGTTGCCACCGATAGTTGGTCCATTGCAGTCGTCGCTGGTGAAGAGGTACGTGCGTATTTCGCTCTTGATCTTGGCCTGGGCGAGGGGAGATAGGAGTGCGAGGACTGCACTCGCGACGACGAGGGTGGAGCGAGGCATGGTCGGGGAGCTCTGCTTTGCGTTAGTGAGAGTTCATACTGTGTCGGAAAGAAGAGGAAAGAGGAAGGTGAGGAAACATACCGGCAGTGGTGTTCAACCGCAGCTCAGTTCGACGATGACGGCTCAGATCGGTAAGAAGGATCGACTAAGTGCATTAGCACTTGTTGATGTAGAGCAAGACGAGGCGACCCACTCAACCAAAAGGCAGGATAGGAGTTCGACTGAGGCTGTAGTTCAAAGGTATGATGTGACCCTGAGATGTGTCAGTGTATATGCTCTGAGCAGCATCGGATGGAAGAGGAAGTCGAAGGATCTGGAGTGCCGGTGTGGTGCGAACCAAGGGTGAGGACGAGAAGTAATAGAGAGACGTACCAACTGAGTAGAAAAGCGGTGCAAGAAAAGCAACTGTCCAATGGTACTGTTGCTGTTGAGTGGTTGGGTGAAGAAGAAACGGAGAGACGGGTGAGGAAGTGGGATTATAAGGGTCCCGGAGACGCGCTAAAACCAGATCTCGGGCCTCGTCACCGAGATATGGATGAAGAAGGTAGCTTCCGTGGGTTGTAGAAGGTAGACAGTACATCTCGTGTGGTTGCTGCGCTTTGTGTGGTGGAATGACGAAGTCGTGGCGTCTGCGAGCGGTTGAGCTGGGCAGGAAGTTAGCAAGGAAGGCAGTCGCGCCAAATACTACAGCAAATGAGGCCAGGATACTGGACTGATGAGGGAAGAACCTCTGGCCAATGTAGCAGCGACAAGGCCGTGCAAAGCGAAAGGCTGGATCATTCTAGAGGCAAGGAAGGTGGCCAGGCGAGATGAGATCGCAGCAAAGGAAGGCATAAAGTGGTGAGAGCGGCCGTTCGGAAAGTGCAGCCTCGACAGCAATCTAGAAGGAGCGGACAGGTACACTCGACAAGAACCCTACATGGAGTAAGTTAATTGAACTCAGATGAAGGACGAGTATAGCGCAAAAGCGTACCTGAGACCTGTGACGTTTACCATGTTGGGATCCGTTGATATAAGTGAAGCCACATGCAAAGAGTAAAGATGAAGCACTCTTCACAAAGCGATAACAATACTTCCCATTCTTTGTCTAACCACCAACCATACCAACCCAACCCTCTTCCACATATCCAACGCCCAAACGCCTCACTTAGTGCGCCACTCTCTCACCACTCCCCCCACTCATCATCCTTCTTCGCCCCTCCACCTCCACCTCCACCCATCCCCCCACCAGCACCCCCCTTCTTCATAGCACTCGTGCCAATGCCACTCGGTTTCTTCCCTGCCATGCCCCCAGTCCCACCAGCCCTAGCCTCCCCCGCACTCCCAAACTCATCCCAAAAGTCCTGTTTATCCTTCGCCGGCCCCGCTGGCGCCGCACCAAAGCTCTCCCAAAAGTCCTTACGCTCAGGTTCGCGCTGACCAGACAAAGGAGCGCGCGAAGAAGAGGAAGAAGAAGAAGGGTGTGCAGAGTCGCCTCCTTCGACGAAGCGGGAGAATTGCGTGTTTGCGTTTGCGACGCCGGATTGGAGGGTTTGGCCGAGGGTGCCGGCTGTGGTGCGGGCTTGGGTTGCGAGGTCTGCTTCTGCGAGCTGTAGCATGGTATGTTAGTCGTTGTTGTGGCTTATGGGTTAGGGTGATGTGTAGGGAGGGTAGATGTACCTTTGCCATACCGGGTTTCACCCAGCCTTCATATCCCGTCTTGCCTACTTTACTCACGCTTGCGCCTAGCCAGCCAAAGCCCTTGGTAAGTGCGGCCACAGGATCTTTCTGGAAGTCGTCAAGCGCAGGAGGCGCACCCGGCTCATCGTCCTTCTTCCAGGCATCTGGCTCGCTGCCGAAGCCGCCGTATTTTCCGCCTTGATTCGGCGCAACGCCATCGGGTCTGTTGGCGTTTTCCTGGCCCATCTTAGCGAAGTAGGCTTCGTTCTTTACTTTCTGACTAGACATGGCGTTGGTGCCGAGGGCGGGGGAGCCCGAGCGCTGGAAGCCTGCGTCGTTGCTTCGTGTCTTTCCTAGGGGTGTCTGGCTTCGGCTTCCGGCTGCGCTGGCGCGTCCGCTCAAGGGCGCGCCCATGCCGGCTGTAGATGCATTGTCCTTCTTGGGTAACCGCTTGGGTAGGTTTGCCTTGTCGAACTCCCTGTCCTCGACCTTACAGCTGAGTCTCTCCTTCCACTCGTCGCCCGCTTCCGAGTCGTATCGCTCTGATATAGATGAGGCCTCGAATGTGCGTCCGTCTTTCGTATTCGAAGGATGTGTGTTGAAGAAGTCTTGGAAGGGCTTATTGCCGCCGGCAGCCATGCGCACGAGTTCCGAGCCCTTGAAGGCGTCCATGGTGATACTGCGGATGAAGGAAATGTGCACACCCAAACCGCGGTGCACGCCCGAGCAGGAGAGGCACATGAAGATACCGAGCTTGGGCGAGGCCTAGGACAGTTCATCTTAGTAGGTGTAGGCGGTGATCGCGTGCGCAGGTAGAGGAAGGGCGGTTGCATACCCATTGCGGACTCGGCGCATTGCAGTCGACGCACTTGTTGTTGTCGTTGGTCTTTTGGATCTCGAGCAACTGCGTACGGAACTGATTAGCCTCTGTCATATGCGCATGCTCGACTCATCACCTGTGCTGTCTTTACGCCGCAATTGACCCCTAACATCCCCCTCCTTCAGCTGTAGAAGGCGCAACGTACCTTACTCCGCGTCTCCGGATCCACCTCCCACATTTTACTCATGATGGGCAACCGAGAAACTGTGCGATTGTAGTGGAATAGAAGGTGAGGTCTGGTCCTAGGCTGGGGGAACGTGGACGGGGTCGGTGTTGCGGTCGAGATTCAGGGTACGTGGGCCTAAGAACGCGTGGCGCGTGTGCAGTTGAGCCTCACAGGGATCTGCGTGATTCGGGTATCCACGCAGTCAAGTGCACCACGTCCGATACTGTCGCTTTGTCGCGACATCATTCCTAAAATTTTTCGTCTGCCTCAGCGGAGAATGTATCATGGATGTGTTGAAATAATGGCACCGTAAAATCGTGGAACAGGCTACTTCGGTAGTATTCGTGTAACGCATGCTGAGCAGCATGTACGCAGAAAGCGAATCAGCAGTTTGTATAGAAGAAGCAAAAACAAAGCTATCTTCGCAGTAGTGAGGGCCGGAACAAGCTTGCATTCAACTGCACTTCCTGACCTCAACCAACTCCGCGTGGCTGAATACATACGTTCTCGCATGCTACCTGATATCCTACCTACAAAAAAAAAAGATAACATCATTCCAGTCCCCAGAAACCACATCCCTCAGTCAACCTTCCAATCCACCGATCCATCAATCCATCATCACCATCACATCAACACACATCCCTCCTGGCGGCCCCCTCGCCGCAAGATGCCAATCTCATCCTCGATATCCTGCCTCGTCAACGGGCGACCTCCGCCAGGTTGAGGACCCAAGGCTGGCGGCGCATCGTCATCATTGTCGTGATCGTTATCAGACTGTCCATCTGAAGTTGAATCCGTCATCGTCATCGTCATCCTCCTCCTCACTGTCATACTGATCTTCCGGGTTGAAATGAGGCATACCAGGCAACTTGAACATTCGCTCTTCAGCCATCATTGTACGCATCTTTTCCTCGATTTCTTGTAGGGTCAGGTTGCTAGTGTCGGGTAGAGGTTCCGTGGCTGGCGGTGGATCGTTGTCGTTCTCGTTGTCCGAGTCGTCTTCATCTTGCTCGGCATCGCTATCGTTCGATCCCTCTTCTTCATTTTCATCATCATCTTCTTCTTCATTTTCCTCATCCCCGCCCTCCGGCCTATAACCAGGCATACCAGGCAAATTCAAGATCAGTCCCTGACCCATCATGATCCTCATCTCATTCTCGATATCCTGCATAGTAAGCGGGCGGCCGGGGCCAAATTGAGTGTTCGAGCCTTCTTCTCCATCATCTCCATCCTCCTCATTATCGTCGTTTGTTGGCTGCATACCAGACATACCCGGCATTCGTCCCTGAGCCGCAAGAATGCCCATTTCCTCCATGATATCTTGCATATTCAGTGGTCGGCCACCAGCACTGGGGTTAGGAGTTTCGTCGTTGTCATCTTCATCTTCCCACTCGTCCCCATTGTCGTCTTCCTCATCCTCGTTGCTATCATCCCCATCCTCATCACTATCTACGTCTTCCTCTTCCTCATCATCATCTCCCCCTTCCTCTTCCTCATCACTATCCCACACATCGCCATTCAGCTCATCCCCCCTATACGAGCTCCCAAACCGTGCCACCCACGGGTTCTCCCTCTCGCCCTCAAAGTCCTCCAGAAGATGCACCCAGACATAGTCTTCTTCAATCTTGCTCGAAGCACCAACGCGCGTTTTGGTATACCACCGTTCAGAGTCGCCTCTGGTATCATGTTCCGACACAATCTTTACCCCCACCTGCGCAAACGCAGACTGGAGGGCCGCGATGCGCGTCTGGCATGGGAAGGTGCCTAGTTGCGGGTGCCAGCCAAAGAACGTAATGGTTCCGAGATTAGGAAGGAGAGTTTTTATAGCAGGGCCCAGGGTGAGCAAGACGTCGAAGCAGGTTTCCGTCACGTCGTGATAACCCGTCTTGGTTGAGATGCGCAGATTTTTGAGATGCTTGGGCAGGTTCCCGAGGTTTCGTTGGAGCGACTCGGCGAGGAATTGCTTGGTAACGGAACGACAATGAACTTTTTCGTAGAAGATGGACGTGGTCATTTGGAAAGTCTCCACGTTCTCCAAGCCGCGCAGTTGTTCAAGCGCGCCTGGGTTCACCACTAGACGGTCGTCGTCGATGGCCATGTTGTTGAGGGACGCACAGTGGTTTCCGATGGCTTCGAAGAGCGTTTGTACGTCTCTGTTGTGCTTCTTGATCGAACCCCCGCCGCCGCTGAACTCGTAGTCGAGTAATTTGAGGTTTTTGAGGCTTTTCAGCAAGCGGGCGAGATCGAATATGTCGGTGGTAGTATGAGAGATTTCCAAATGCTCCAGATTCGATC